TATTGTTTTTTATATAATTTGTATGTGTTATTAATTGCATTATTTTTTAATATAAATTTTATATATTATGAAATAAATATATTTGATATTATAAATTTTAATTAAATAAAAAAATTCATTAAATAATATATAAAATTAAAACCAATAAAAAAAATATCCTTTAAATAATTTAGATGATTTCATTTTTGTTTGTCAGAAAAGACCAGCTAGAACTATTTTATTCAGTGAGGGGGTAGATTCGTCATTTTAGGGTTTTGTTTGTAACAGTGCATCTTTGGCGTCGCTGACGCGAGAGACGGGGCCGAAGGTGGTGAGGGGAGATCCGGCGAAGAGGATCGAGGGCCAAAAGGTTGTGCACGTGTCGCACTACCAGGTCGAGGCGCCGACCATTAGCGTCAGTGACAGTTCTCTGAAGTTCACCCATGTCCTGTACAACCTCTCTCCGGCGGGTACAGTCCTTTCTTCCGATTTCGTTTGATCTGTTAATTTTTTATGAAGATGAAGAACATTGGTGAGCTGAACTCTGGTTTTCTTTTCTATCCGCAGAGTTGTACGAGCAGGCTATCAAGTATGAGAAAGGATCGTTCATCACATCCGCCGGTGCGTTGGCCACCCTCTCCGGCGCCAAGACCGGCCGATCTCCGAGGGATAAGCGTGTCGTCAAGGATGAAACCACTGAATATGAGCTTTGGTGGGGAAAGTAAGTGTACTGCAGTCTGTAGTCAATATTCAATTTATTTTGTGGCTAACTAGTGCAAAATATTGAATGAATTGTGATTGGCGATTACAGGGGCTCACCTAACATTGAAATGGACGAGCACACTTTCATGGTGAACAGAGAAAGAGCTGTCGATTACTTGAATTCTCTGGAAAAGGTAAGTTTTTTCCGATCTTCTTTGCAATATAAGGAGAATAAATTAGGAGAAAAGCTGGAATGTTAATCTAGGTTGAATTGTTTTACTTTTGGAAGATGGTGATGTGCATTGTGGTGGTCCTACAGTATCTTTTTCGTCGTCTTCTTCACGTAAGATGTATGCAGGCCTAGCGGCCCTTAATTCCTTGGGAAAAGCAATTTTGTATTTTTTGTTTGTCCTCAACCCGGGAATTGGATAAGAACTAAATGAACTAACCATTCAATGAGATTGATGAATTCTTGAGAATGATATGATTTAAGTTATTTTTTTAGGTTTATGTGAATGACCAATTCTTGAACTGGGATCCACAGAACAGAATCAAAGTCAGGATTGTATCTGCTAGAGCTTACCATTCCTTGTTCATGCACAATATGTAAGTAAAATCTCTGATTTTAAGGTTTCAATACGTTTTTTTGTGTGTTTTGCTTTCCAGGGGTCTAAGCCCTTCCCCATTTTTTTTTTTTTTTTAATCTGCCATGATGTTAGTTAATTATTTGTATACTATGTTGAGTTTTTATAAATCTTATAAAATTCCATCGAGGAAAGAGGTTAAACAATTAGTAAAAGATTAGTGTGTACAATTGGATAACTGGGTGGGTGGCAGGTGTATCCGACCCACTCCTGAAGAGCTGGAGAATTTTGGTACTCCGGACTTCACTATATACAATGCTGGACAGTTCCCATGTAATCGTTACACCCACTACATGACATCCTCCACTAGCATAGATCTTAATCTTGCTAGGAGGGAAATGGTTATCCTCGGCACTCAGTACGCCGGGGAAATGAAGAAGGGTCTTTTCGGTGTTATGCATTATCTCATGCCTAAGCGTCAAATCCTCTCCTTACATTCTGGCTGCAATATGGGGAAAGATGGAGATGTTGCCCTCTTCTTTGGACTGTCAGGTATAGTATCATTGGACAAGGTGCCAATGTGGAGCCAAGAATGATACGTGCCTCTCTTACTCCATCCTTGATGCCCTGCTATGTTTGTTTTGAGAAGGCTATATGTCCTTACTCTACCCTATGCATTTTTTGTTTATTGATGAATTCAATGATTTTTTTTTAGGTACTGGCAAGACTACTCTGTCTACTGATCACAATAGGTATCTAATTGGGGATGATGAACACTGTTGGAGTGACAATGGAGTGTCAAATATTGAAGGTGGTTGCTACGCCAAGTGCATCGGTCTCTCAAAAGAGAAGGAGCCGGATATTTGGAATGCCATTAAGTTTGGCACTGGTAATGGTCTAGAATCTATCTTTTGATCAATCGACTTAAATTAATAGAGGGATCTCAGGATTATGGAAAAGGTGTAGAGCTTACTTTAGTTTTGGCACATTACCAATATCTGACTATTTAAAGTGTGGCTTGCAGTATTGGAAAATGTGGTCTTTGAAGAGCATGCCCGTGAGGTGGATTATTCTGACAAATCAGTTACAGGTAGATTTTTTATAATCTGGAATTATCTATTTCAGCATAATCTTCGCTCTATTAAGTGGTCAAAGAATAAGACCAATCATGACCAAGTCATTCTGAGATGTGATCAACTTCAATAAATTAAGTATATTTGTGGCTCTTTTCTTGTGCGTATAGGTAATATGATTAGTACATGGAATTTGTTGAGTCAATTTATTCACTTTGAAAAGCAGGTTGCTTTTCATCAATAGCATTGCTTTAAACTTTCTCATTTATACACTTTGCCAAATGGTTGTTTTTTAGTCTATTAGGGTTGAAAAAATATAAAGGTATAAAAAATGCCAAGTATGTAGAGCATTAGAAAAGGGAAATAAAGAAAGAGGAACAATGTGAAGGAAATAAATTTACCCTGCAGATTTCCCTATTGTGAACAATGTGCTGTGGTCAAAGGAAACTTGTTTAAATAACCATTAACTTGATGTCTGGAATAGAATAGTATGAAGAGACATCTGAGAAAACTGTTAATGAACATAATCATGCATTGTGAAGCATAAAATTCCATCTTTTAACTGATTTTGTCTTTTTGCAGAGAACACTCGTGCAGCCTACCCCATTGAATTCATCCCTAATGCAAAGATACCATGTGTTGCTCCGCACCCAAAGAATGTCATTCTTTTGGCATGTGATGCGTTTGGTGTCCTTCCACCGGTCAGCAAGTTGAGCCTGGCTCAAACCATGTACCATTTCATCAGTGGCTACACTGCCCTGGTAAGCTTTTATCCCGCTAACAATTGTTCTCTTAGTTTGGTTTTTCTCTAATTATGGTAAAAAATACTTCGATTGGTCATGTAACGATCAGGTCATTTGTGTCATGCTGACTGAAATTTTTTATGATAAATATAGGTGGCTGGGACAGAGGATGGTATTAAGGAGCCACAGGCAACATTCTCAGCTTGTTTTGGTGCAGCATTTATAATGATGCACCCTACAAAGTATGCAGCGATGCTGGCTGAGAAAATGCAGAAGCATGGTGCAACAGGATGGCTTGTCAACACTGGCTGGTCAGGTGGAAGGTCTGTGTTACTCATGGGAAAATGAATAAGACAAACTATTTTCTTGGGAAAAGTTGAATCAATTATGGTTTTTGGTTTTCTGCAGCTATGGCTCTGGAAGCCGTATCAAGCTACCCCACACTCGGGGGATCATTGATGCCATACACTCTGGTAGCCTCTTGAAGGCAAACTACAGGAAAACTGAGGTGTTTGGGCTTGAGATCCCAACTGAGGTTGAGGGAGTGCCTTCAGAAATCTTGGATCCACAAAACACTGTAAGTTGGCGTTTATGTTATTTCATTTTGGCCCAAGTCTCTAAATTCTAATGTAATTGCCATTTGGGTGGCAGTGGCAGGACAAGAAGGCTTACAAGGATACCCAGCTGAAATTGGCTGGTCTTTTCAAGAACAACTTCGAGACCTTCACAAGCTACAAGATCGGCAAGGACAACAAGCTGACTGAGGAGATCCTTGCAGCTGGTCCAAACTTCTAATTGGAGTCAATGGAGAAGAGAATCAGAAGATGAAATTACTACCCCTGTAAGGGGGGATACATGTGACTGAAATAAGAGTTTTGATTTAGATGAAATACGTTGTCGTCATTTTCTTGGTTTTATTTAGCCGTAAAAGGGTTTCCTATGTTGAAAAACAGTCCATTTTGAACTCAGGAGGCTCTTTTATCTTCACCTGTTTTGGCGATGACTTATGGTGTGCTTTTTACTTTGAGGTACAATGCATGACTGTAATGTCAATTTCTCACAAACTAGTCTTAGTGGCCTAATTAACTTGCACATTGATTTTTGCTTTAAATATAAACTTAATTTCTTCATTTTCATTGATCAAGGGATGTTAGGCATAGCCCAAGCTTTGAAAAATGCACATGAAAAGAACATCTACTGATCTACGCATACTATGTCAGATTGTCAGATTGACCAAGTAATATCTGTTTTTTTTTTTTTTCTTTTTCCCTATACCAGAAAAATTTATCATATATTCCAGCATAAAATCTGCAACATCATGGCCACCAAACCATCTTAAGGATGGCTGCGTGGAATTCCCAAAAACAGAATTCAATGCCGGTTGTTGGAAAAAATAGCTAATGATACTTAAGTTTATATACAATTCAATGAACAATAGTTTGAATTATTAATAAAAATAATTATTGATCATCAAATTAAATAAAACCATTAACCATTAATTTTAAACTGTTATTTTAAACATCATTTTAGATAGTCAACTTGCTGTCAAGCTAATAATATCACAATGCCCTTAGTGACACTCGGAGCTGGCCTAAAAAGGAAAAAAAGTGATACTTGGGAGAACTATATCAAATACCGTAAGAAATATAAATGCAAAGAGCACCAAATTTATGTCAAAACTGAAAGGAAAAAAATCAGGCAACAAAATCCAGTAATAAAAATGATAATACAATTGTGTCTTCTTCTTTTTCCCTAAACTTGAGAGTTGAGACCTGACACAATTAGAAGTAATACAAAAATACACCTCTCAGGGACAATCTCATCCAATGGGACTAAGTGCATTGATCACCTATGATCAAATTGCCCATAATTTGTTGCAGTACACCTACTCTCCCTATGAAGTAAAGTAAAAACTTTACTTCTCTGGAGTAAAAATTCTTTCTGCCAAAGTTTACTTCTTAGTACTCTCTGTGTGGAGTAGAATTTTTTTTTTTTCCTTTTTTTTTGGGGGAGGGGGTTGGGGGGTGGCCGCTGAGCTTAATTTCTTGCTTTCTTGGCTTCTTTTACCTCTATGGCTTGTCTATTTATGGAAAAAAATCCAACCCCTAGTAACCACATTTTCTTTGGCTTTTCTGGACACTTACCTGCCATCCCCGCTTTCCATGGTTAGGGTATATAGAGAAAAATAACTACTACTTAAACACACTTTCTACATATAAATATTGTCTTTAATTGCATTTAATAAAGAAAAAGAATTATTAATAGGATTTTTTAAAATCATATCCGATACAAGTTAAGAATATAATAAATATATTTTTTGAACATGAATTAATATTAAAAATGACAAAAAAAACTAATATTAATTTCATCACAATCTCATATGAATTATTTTAATTAGATAGTTGATTAAATAAAAGTTAAATTATACTTTTTAGTAACAATTAACGTAAACAAATATTCTTAACCTATATGAAACTTAATGTTAGAAAAACCCTTATTAATAATAATGTAATTAATGTAGGTTTATATCCTTGTTTGATACTTGATTAGTATCAATAAAGTAAAAAGAAAGATTCAATTACATATAAATTTTATATATCATATGTATATGAAATTTTAATAATTTATCTTTTTATTTTTAATGATTGAGATTTATTATTTTTCAAATAAAAAAATAATTATATTTAATAAATATAATAAAAAAATAAATCTCATTTATTAAAAATGAAGAGAGAGATAGTTAAAATTTTATATAAATATAATGTATAAAACTTATAAGTAAATAAAATTTTATCCATAAATTAAAATACATAGGCAATGAGGTGGATTCGACTCTCATAACAGTGAGTTTTTTCTAGATTTTTTCTTTCTTTTTTTTTAGTTTTGTCCAGTACCCACTTGCAATTGTATACCATCCTTCAAATTGTATTTTGTATATTATCTTTTATTTTTTCTATATTATCTTGTATACTCTAAGACTGAATCCACAAAGACAATCGATCCGACAAAGGAATTTACATAAAAATACTAGATCAAATTTTAAAATACAAAATTTGGAAACAAAATTATTTTAACAGTTACTATTAATTCACAAGAAGACCCCAGATCAGCAATAAAAAGACATGCTGAACATGAGACGTTAAATGGGAAGGTGTGATATTTAAATTTCTGTAAGGTGCTATATGGTAAAGGTGAGGTAGCACTCTGATGTATGCTGAAATGTATATGGGTTTGGATACCCCTGGCATCCAATAAATAAAATTTTGGCTTATCAAAAAAAAAAAAAACTATTAATTCACAAGACATTCATTTCATAAGTAATTAATGGTTATTATAAATTCTTTCTAACAATTAGTTCTAAAAATTATTTTTAAAATTATGTTGCGTTTAGAATTGCTATGAAATGTTATAATTATTAAAATTTTTAATATTTTATTATAAAAAAATTATATGATTTTAATAAAATATTATAAAAAAATGAAAAATAATTTAATTTGTATCATTAAAATATAATACTTTAATTATTTTTAGTAAAGATTTATTAAAAATATAATTTTCAAGTAATTTTTTAATTTTTAAAATAAGACTGATGAATATTATTATTAGAAATTAATATTTTTATAAAGTAATGTATAAAAAAAAAAAAATTAGGCAGAGAATGCAATATTTTAAAAGCTGTTCCAAAACGCGTTTAAGAAAACGGATTAGCATTTAAGACGCATTTATTTTGTCGTATTTTATACTTTTCTTACACTCCGAGTTAAATAAAACTGAACTCGACCGAACAGACCATTGCGAACCAGAGGGTGCGCATAACACCACCATATCAGGATAGCGCGAATCGCCTTTGTGACTGGGTCCTTCGCGTCCCCGGCTCTTTATCTCCCAATATCCCTTACCCTAGCCTCGCACCAAGCCTCCATTCGTCTTTCCGAGAGCCCTAGGGCCTGCGCTACGTGGTTCCCCCTTCACAGTCGATCAATTTTCGATTGGCTGTTTCAAACCTTTGCCTCCGTTTTCCGCCGGTAATTCTCCTTAATTTGGTTTGATTTCGACGAATTTCCGACTCTTTTCGAGGTATTATATGTTATTTCTTGTTAGATCTATGAAATTTGATTAATTTTTATGTGCGTGGCTTTTCAATATTTTTGTGCATCTTTTTGATTATTTGATCGGGATTGTAAAGCATTGGTGCGTTCAGATCAAAGCTGTTTTTTTGTCCGAATAATAGTTTAAATTGCGTTAAATCAAATTTCTGCGGATTTATTCGGTGATTCCGTGATTATGGTAGTAGTATGATTTAGATGGAGTGGTTTTTGTGGAAAATAGCTTGTTATGTCTTTTCCATGGCAATTGCAGATATATCTGTGTGTTTTTTGCATTCGGCTTTGATCTAGGGTTTGGATTTTTGACCAGTTGTCCTGAAGAAAGATCAGATATCGATTTACTAAGAAAATATTTGAAATTATTGGTAACATCACAAAATGCAAAGTAAAGGAATTAATCAAATGATACTCTTAAGAAATTGCATGTGAATTTTTCCTTTTAATAAAAAGGAAAATTGAATCGACTTCTGATGAAGCTCTTTAACTTCATCTGAGTAATCTTAACGCAATAGAAGAAAAATTAAGTTATTAGATAAAAAATAAAAAATAAAAATTGTGCATTGCAATAAGTTTGGACTATTAAGTTGTTAGGTCAAAATACTCTTTTTTTCTATCTAAATTAATAAATCTCATTATTCATTTTTTGATGTTTCAGGCATCCAGTATTCTTGATTAGCAGCTGCTTTGTTCATCACTGCTTCTCTGATTTCATTGGAGATAATAATCAACAATGAGAGGATATGATGGGGATGTAAGCATTTTCTGAAATTTTTGTACAAAATTGAGTTCAATGTTAGCCTGGACCTGAAGAAAATAGTTCTAACTGACTCTGTCCAGTAAGGGTCATTCAGTTTTGGTTCCCCAAATAATTTTACCTTCTCTTTCTAATGTGCTTTTCTAGGAATATGAAGATTATGGTGATTATAGTATGGAAGGTGAAGAGCTAGAGGTAGAGGATGAGGAGGTGGGTGAAGAATATGAGGAAGAAGAAGCAGAAGAGGAAGCTCGAAAGCCTACAGAGGAAGAAATGGAATACCTTGAGCTAAGGCAGCGGCTAAAAGAATCCATCAGACAGAAGAGGAAGAGGGAAAGTGGTTCTCTTAATGCTAGAGAGGAGAAGAGGCCATCATATGATACGTGAGTGATGCATCTACTTTATGTCATAGCCTTCTATCCTGTAGCCCAGTAACCATTAAAAGGTTCTTTTAGTGCCAATTGTTTCTTGAATGTTGTTAACCTAGTAAATTTAGTCTAGGGTTTTGATAAAATTACAATAATTCATGACTTTGGAGTTAATAATAGATGCATTAATTGTGGCTATTCTGCTTGAATATACATCATCTAGGTCTTCCTTACATCATCTCAAATTGTATTTGTACAGTCATATGTCATTGTGGTTCTTAAAGAGACTAAGCCCTGGTCTCTAGCTTCTATCATCTGCCAAAATTATGTATGCATTCATTCTAAATATTCATGTATCACATTTTCTTTTTCACACTTTTGAGTTCAAAACATGAATTTGTCACTCTTCTTTGCTTTATAAATGTTATTTTTCTGTTTAAATTTGCTTATTGTTATGGTTTCTGGGGGGACCTTTGAAGCTAGAATTCTTAATTATTTTCAAAATGTTACTTCCCTGCAGTTATGGATCCTTCTTTGGCCCTTCTCAGCCTGTGATTGCCCAAAGAGTAATCCAAGAAAGCAAGTCATTGTTAGAAAACAAGCAATTGGTATCTAAAATGTTGGAATCCAAAAATAGTGTATGTATCTTTTCCTTCTGTTGAGGAATTGGAGTTACAATATAGTTGTTTTTTTTTTTCCTTGACAATGTTGCTATCAATTGTAGAAAAAAGTGAATTCTGCTTCAAACGGTACAGGATCAAAACTAGGAGTAACTGAGCGGGCTCCTAAAATAAGTGAGGTATCTAGAGCACTAACTTGTGTGTCTTTTTTGCATGTCATTTGTGATAATGCCATTGGAAATTGACTTTATGCAGTTCAAAAGGAAAGTTGAGAAACTTAAGATGGCGAGAGACTACTCTTTTCTATCTAATGATGCTGAATTTTCAGTTCCTACAAAAGATCCTCCACCACGCAATATCTCTGTTCCAAATTCTGGTGGGTTGCCACTTCAACACATCAAATCCCTTTTTTACTGTAGGACTTAAGTCATGTCATTTTCATTGAGAAAACTTATACAGGTTTTTTGCTGATGTTCAAGAGGCCCAACCAGCTCACTTGATGTTAAAGAGCAAACAAACATTGAGGAATGCTAGCACAAATTTCCCTGGTGTCCGTGAAGAAAGGAAATCAGTTTCTTTGAATGGTCAAGGGCATGCTAGAGCTCAGTCCTACAAACCAATCTCTGCTGGCAAACCAAATTTGACATCAGTTGATTCTAAGAAGCAGCTTGGAATCAATAATGGTATTGGACCTGGCCGGCCTGGAGGAGTAAAAGCTTTTTCCTTGAAAAGTCCTTCTGCAGCCATGAATAAGAAGACACCTATCCCAGGTGTAAGAAATCTCCCACCAAATATGCAGAAAGCACCGTCTTCAAAGATGCACTTATCCAACTCAAAGCAAGTAGTGGAACAGAAAAGGGTAATGCAAGAACACACTAACGGTATGTTGAAGAGGCCAGTGCCACCTTCAATGTCAAAACAGCTGGTGCCAGCGCCATCATCAATGTCAAAACGGCCAGTGCCATCATCAATGTCTAAACAGCCAGTGCCTTCATCAGTGTCGAAACTGCCACCGCCATCATCAATGTTGAAACGGCCACCACCATCATCATTGTCCAAACAACCAGTACCATCTTCGATGTCAAGATCACAGGTTTTAAATCTTTCTATATTACCTAGGTTTTTATTATAATTATGAATATTTAAGAATTAATTTGGAATACAATACAATCTAGTTGGTTTAATGTTTTAAATTTATTGAGGATTTGATATCTTTTAATAAAGATTCCTAATTAGGGTTCCAGGTTTTCTACATAAGGTTAGGTTGTATTAGGGTTCTTCAACTTGATGCCCTCTTTGGTTAAGTTGTTCCCTAACAACTAAACCAAACAGGGCCTGAATATGAGTTAACATTGCCTCTTTTTCTCTATCTTTCCAAAAATCTCTTGTTCTATATCAATTTTGGCATCTACATCAACTTTCTTTTCTGTTGAGCATATTCTCATTTATTTTTCCTGAAATAATCACAGATAAAAAAGGCACCACCAAAGCAAGTCTCATCACGTGGTACGACACAAATTCAACAACCCAAGAAAAAGCGGTTATCTGAGGAGGATGAGGCTTTAGAGGAAATCAGAAGAATGTTCAAGTAATGCCTCTCTCGACAATGCACTTTCCTACACTTCCTCCATTTGATTGCTTTTATCAAGAATGTAGTTTAAGAATTTGAAATGAACTGCAGTAGTGGAAATTGCAGGAGTGATATATTTTTGCACAGATTGGGGTTTCCTGTTTTGAATTTTAGTTTTGGATAAAATCCAATTTCAAACTGATTATGAACTGGATATGAATGGGTTGCTTCATGCTTTTGGATCAGCAAAGGAATAGGATATGATTTATTGGTCCTTCTATTTTGATTTGGATAAGATTGTGCTGATTGTATTTTTTTTTCTTTTGCAGCACCCAAAGATATGCTGGTCGTGATGATGATGATAGTGACATGGAGGCAAACTTTGATGAGATTATGAAAGAAGAGAGAAGAAGGTTGGTATATTGTCCCTCTCCCCTTTCCCTTATCTGATCCTTGCAGCTAGTACTTTACAAAAAATGTAAGGGATAGAACCATTTTTATGTTTAGATGAAACAACAGTTTCTGCAACAAAATGAAATCACGTCCCAATCTGTGCACTTTAGAGAGAGAGTTTGGAAAATGGTTTTGGAGAAAGAAAAAAAAAAAAAAACTGAAGAATTATTTCTGTGTCATCGTTACTTTATTTCCTTTTAGGTCAAGCAGTTCTTTGTGTTACCATAGAGAAGAGAGGTGAGTATTTAGGATTGATTGATGAACTAGGATCTGACCCTCTGTTTATGTTCTTCTTGTACAGTGCTAAAATTGGAAGAATGGAAGATGAAGAAGAAGAACGACTGATAGAGGAAGAGGAAAGACGAGAGCGGATGAGGAAGTTGGCGAAGAAGCGTAAGCTGAGCCACTGAGGGTATCGTGCCAGAACTGATGGTTTAGACTTTGATGTAATCCGCGTCGCGTTTGATCCACGGTAGCCAGCAGCAGTGATAACTACTTAATTTCGGCTTTCATGATGCCTTGTGCGAAATTATTTAGCTTCACTTATTCAAGTGGTAGGGATTTTACTTTTGTTGGTAAAATTAGATTTAATCTTCCTCCTAATAATATATCTTCAAAGTAATTGATTTTTTTTTCCAAATTCTGGCACGTAAATAAAATATGTTTTTTTTATGGAAATGTCATTATATATTATTAAAGGATTGTGGTTATCATCATTATTAATTGTGCTAGGGTTATTAAAATTATTAAAATTTTAATTTAATTTAACTAATAAAAATAATTA